AAGAAGAACGAAGAAGAATTAGAGAGATACAGGAAGAACTGATCTGATGAAGGTAATTGCCGTGGCGACGACGATGATGATAACGCTGTGGTATTCTCTCGACAATGATGGCGGCAGCGCATCGAGAAGCACTGGATCACACGTGCAGCCGCGACTGGCCGTACTGCAACGGCAGGCGTTGCTGCAGTGTGGGAGGGTATGTGTGGGAGAGGCGGCGAACATTGTTGTCCCGGCTACTGTGCCTTCCATTGCCCTAAACGCCATCCGCGACACTGTCCCAGTCCCGAGGAATTCCCGTTATCTAATAACTATAGTCATGTGCTCGGAAAACCTTACCCCCGGCCCCGGCGTGGCGGCGGCAGCCGGTGATCGTCACGTCACATCAGTCAGTAGCTACTAGCTACAGTTCATATATACATGCATGTCATCAACCGATGCGGCGACGTACTGTTCTGAAACCGGCGTTCTTGTTCGTGATAAAGAATTGAGGGATCGGAGACGTTCTGGTCTAGTTAGCGTCTCTCATTAGTGCACGATGTTTCCTGGGTTGTGCTTGTTGTGTTTACATTTTATTGTAAAATGTTTAATGCAAAGACTTTTTTCCAAAGGTAATGAAAATGAAGGGTAAAAGAGTGCAATAATGTTATGATAGAGTATGTTCGGGAAAAAAAAAAGAAATCTGAATTTTTATTTATTTAATATTTGATGATTTATCCATTTATTATAGTGATTTCTTGGTGTATATCTAGATATAGCCTATTATAGTGATTTGTTATTGTTCAATATTTAATATTGTCAAATCAATACCACTAACAATCGAACCTCAATCACGCACTATTGCAAGTCTACAATCTATCAAAATGACTACTAAAAAGTTCGCATAATCACTACTAGATTTCGCCAAAGCACTACCAAGAATCATAAAAATCACTAGTACAATGTATGAATCTCTACCAATTAATGTTGTCCAAATTGTGTGATTGTGACGATCGATGACTCCAACAACAACATCAATGGCAATGAAATCTTCAATGGTGACGACAACATCGACTTTAGTGAACCGTTCAATAATTGAATTGACTTTAAACTTGTTTGTGCCAAGTCGTCTCCGGTCCCACCTCTCCGAGCCTCCGTCGGACGAACTCCTTCGTGGCGCCTAGGGCCTGCACAGACAAGCGCCTAGTGGGCTTTTGGATGCCCGTTAGCACTCCAACGCTCAAGTCAGTGCTAATTCTAGAGAGATAAGTGCTCAGGTCGTTTTTAGTGAGAGAAGCCCACCTGCGTAAATGCCACCTACCAGGCACTATTTATACTCGACGAGACCCCGACCAGGCTCCTGGAGTTCAGCCCTACGTCAGCACGTCATTAAATGCTCAGTACGGCCCAACGGTCGGGCGCTTACACGTGGCGGCTCCTGGGCTCCTAAGTCTGGGCGCCTGTGGGGACCACCTTGCCAGGTGGCACGCCCTCAGCTTCCAGGCATCTGAGATGCATGGTCCCCGCCCTAGTTTTGTCGTCATGCGCCTGCTTGCTCCTGTATGGGCCTAACTTTCACTCCTACATGCCCTGGCTCCCTAGTAAGCTTGGGCCCAAGCCCTGCCTATAAGTTCATGTCCCCCAATAGTTCATTTATGCTTATCCAATAAAACTAAAATACTACTTTTTTTCAATTGCTAAAATATCCATGTAATCTCAACGTATTTTGTATTTTCTAATCTCGACGGCTAAAACATTAGTAATCGTGTTGGTGAGCGGTGACAATCCTTATTGCGTGTTATCGCCGTATGCCGTCCGCATTAATTCCGAATGTTCCTAACTGAAATTCGGAAGGTGTCCATTTTTCTTGCCTGATTTTTCAGTTCCAGCAACTCCGGGCGGAAAGTGTGGCTGCCTGCCAAGATGGACATTCCAAAAGTTTCTTTCTTGGTGCCCAAGAAAAAATATCATTTAACCAATTATATACGTTCCCGAAAAGAAGAAAAGCTTGGACACGTCTCTACCTCTCTCTCACTAAACGACACAGATCTCGCCACGTATCATATGCTTGGGGAGCACACGTCTGACCTGTAACCTGCCAGTTACATAATCCGATTTCCTCCATCAACCCTGAAACGACAGATCAATACTCTCACAAAACGCGAGCAATTCGGATATCTAACCCGACCCGAGTCGACCTACTCAGTTTGTCTGGGTACACTATGGGGTCGTTTGGAGGTTGAGATTTGAAGTGAGGTATTTAGCAAATACATGTAATGATAAGATTAAGTCGTTTTTTTGGTTCACTTTGAGCTAGAATGCATGCATTACCTTTTTGTTGGGCCCACCTACAATCACTCAAAATGAATGATTATAAATCTCTACTAAAAGGTGAGATTGTTAATGAGGGATTGTCTACCCTACTTTTTGTTTCATCATTGCCCTTCCAAACAAAGTATTTTCCTAATACATGTATTGAATCAATACATCAAATGATAATACACTAATTGGCCTAATACATCAATTTGAAGAATCACAACTTCCAAACGACCCCTATATATACCTAAACCTCCCCTAAAACCTCTCTTCATCTCCAAGAAAAACCAAAACAACTCTTCTTGATTCTTTCACAACTCACCAGATTTCGCGAAACTTCCTCCAACGATTTCTCTCTCTCAAGAATCACTGCTAAGGTTTTCGATTTTGGTGATCTGAACGGCGACGATGATGTCTACGATGGGCCGCGGTGGCGCCAGGATGGCTGTGGCTGCTCTGGCGTTGCGCAATTTCTCTTCGGCGACTAGCGGAGGAGCAGGCGCCGTCGCTCGGCAAGCTGCCTCGGCCGGTATCGCGAGCGGCGGGGTCCAGGCTCCGATTGCGGTCGGGGTCTGGGTTAGAGGTATGGCGACGGCTACCAGCGGCGACCGGACCTTCGCAACGATGACGCTGGCGGAGCAGGAACAGCAGGAAGAGAAGAAGCAGCCGCAGATGGCATCCGGCGGCGGCGGCGGCGGGATGAACGGGGACGGAAACGAAGACAAGGAGATTGTTAGTTACTGGGACATACCGACTCGCAAGATCCGAAAGGAGGATGGAACAGAGTGGAAGTGGAATTCCTTCATGGTGAGTAGTAGTACTAATCAATTAATTCCAATTGCAATCTCGGATCCGTTTTCTTCAATTCTTTCTCTTGATCTCTGATTTCTGAAGTAATCTTCGGTTTTATTTGGGGGAAAAGCCATGGGAGACGTACAAAGCAGACACATCGATAGATCTGAAGAAGCACCACAAGCCATCCACCATGATTGACAAAATCGCCTACTGGACTGTCAAGTCTCTCCGCTGGCCAACCGATTTGTTCTTCCAGGTACCCTTTTCGGCTCCCATCTTGATTGAATCCTGAGAATGTTGGCGAATCATTCATCTGTTGTAGGCAATTGATTTAGTCAAGAACATGAATCCGACCTCCTAACTCTACAATTTCAATCATGATCAATCAAGATCTCTAGGCTCCAGATTTTTGGGGAATTAGATTTATGGTTAGCCTGTCTAGGATTATGAACATGAAATTGACCTTGCCCCAATGTGTATGTTATAACAGAGGAGATATGGGTGTCGAGCAATGATGCTGGAAACGGTGGCGGCGGTGCCAGGGATGGTAGGAGGGATGCTGCTCCACTGCAAGTCACTAAGGAGGTTCGAGCACAGCGGCGGATGGATCCGAACCCTGCTCGAGGAGGCGGAGAACGAGCGGATGCATCTAATGACGTTCATGGAAGTGGCGCAGCCGAAATGGTACGAGAGAGCCCTGGTGATAACGGTGCAGGGCATCTTCTTCAATGCCTACTTCCTGGGATACGTCATCTCCCCCAAGTTTGCGCACAGGATGGTGGGTTACTTGGAAGAGGAGGCCATTCACTCCTACACGGAGTTCCTCAAGGAGCTGGACAAGGGCAACATTGAGAATGTTCCTGCTCCGGCCATCGCCATTGACTACTGGCGGCTCCCGGCGGATGCTACTCTGAAGGATGTGGTGGAGGTGGTGAGAGCTGATGAGGCTCATCACAGGGATGTCAATCACCTTGCTTCGGACATACACTACCAGGGGCATGAGCTGAGGGATACTCCGGCGCCGTTGGGGTATCACTGAGTTGGGTTGGTTACTGCCGTGGAACGGCGCAATTAGAGATCTGCAGAAGATTCGAGTGAGATTTAATATGTTTTACAAATCGTTAAGTGTAAAATGTGGTTTTGGTGGACTACCGTATAGATCTGTTCTTTCCTGCGTATCAACTCTACGTTTAAGGATGTTGGCATTGGCAAGTAGTGATTTCGTGGATACAGTGTCTTAGCTGTGTCTGGATTATCTTGTAAATAAGAACTGATATGAGTAAAATAATCATCTGTTGATAATTGTGGCTTTTTATATAGAGTGTCCAATAATCAATACTATCAGTTTAATCCGATTATTGTGCAAGCAACAACATTCATGGAATTTGGTCGCTATATTCGTTCAAACCAAAAATTGGAATTTATAACCCAAATCCAAGTGTACATATTTTTTTCTCTACTGTTCATCTATCACTCAGCTAGCATTTTTACTTTCTTGTTTGTCTGAATTTTCAGATTCTCGTAATTTTTATCTTACAATATTCACTATCAATTGGCGGAGATATAACATAATTGTCCATATAATTGCTCAACTATTTGTCAACTCTTACATATAGTTGAATGTTCTGGTGTAACTATCTATTTTGAACCATTATCTATTAAAAAAAAAATCACAATACGCCAATTGTAGAGTTGGTGGATTTTGATTTCCAACTCCTACAAATCAAAACCGATGCACACAACATGCTTTATCTTTGTTCCAGATTGCAATTATCAATGGCGTTCGTCAAACTATTTGTCGTCGCCTGTTTTTCCCCCCGTAATCGAAGTTAAACAAATCTTAAAGCTACAAGACGAAAAAGGTTCCTGAACACTATGTTCATGAAGGAAGGGAGGAAAAGGAGGGGAGGGTAGGAAAATTTGGAGGGGAGGTTAACTTTGGAAGGGAGGGAAATTAGAGGGAATTGGAAAGAAAATGTTGTTTAATGGAGGAAAGTGGAATGGAAAGTGGGAGGGAAAAAGTAGATTGGGAATTGTGATATGTATTATATTTTATTGATGATAGAATAGTTAAATAATTTAATTATGTGTTTATATTATTTACATTAATTATGTAATGTGGATCAAATTTGTTTTTCTTTGTTAATTTTGTTAACTACAACAAATCAAAAGTTGGTTTATTCAATTTAAATTTTGACTAAATCATGTTTTATTCAATTTAAAAGTTGTTAATTGCGAATTTTGAGTAGGGCTTCATAGCGGTGATCTTTATTCAATTTAAAATTTTCCCTAAATCATGTTTTTTAACTCCTAAATCATGTTTTAATGATGAAAGTTTTTTATTTTGAAAATACGAGACAAACAATTTAATGGAAATATCACTTACTACTCATTAATTATAATATTTTTTTGTTGATCTACTTTTCATATTTTGCTTTCCATAATTTACTCTATCGTCTAACTATTTGCTTTCACAATAAAAATAAACACTTCCCACTTTTTTTGCTTTCACAATGCCGTGCAACCATATAAATACAGATTAAAAATATAACCTCTTGCATATATTCACAATAGCGCATTTATCTCTTCTTAGCAAAAACAAAAATTAAAAATAACATACTCATTTAAATCAGACCTCGTTGGGAAGGAAAACGAAAAAAGAATAAAAAACCTATTCCACATTAAACACTCTCAATGGACATATAAAAAAAAACATATAAACCCAAAAAAGAAAAAGAAACAGAAAAAACAACGTAAAGATTGTTTCTCTCCAATTTGTATAAGATGTTTATCCAACAAAATAAAAAATGTAAAAATTATAAACTTTAATTTCCTAATCATTCATCCCATCCAAAAAATAAACTGAAAAACAAATAAAAACAAAAGAAAGTTCTTCCTTCTCTCTTTCCCTCCAATTTGGAGGGTAGGATGATACAGTACTCATTCCTTCCATTTTCCCTCCTCTTCCTTTCTTTCCCTCCTTCCCGAACAAAGGAAAGTGTATTGGAAACACAACTTTCCTTCTATCTTTTCCCTCCCCTTGCTTTTCCCTTGTAAATGAACAGAGTGTTCAGCACATCTGTTGTTCGTGGACTCTGCTCTGCTTTCATTCTGCGTTTCACATCACATCCCTATCCATGAAGTGTCTTTTGAAAGGGACCTCAAAGATTGGTTCTTTCTTGTTTGCTCCCATCACATCATCCCTCACTTGTCTCCTTATCCAACTCACCAAACTTGGAATAAACAATGTTAGGCTTAACCCATTCCATCTCTGCTGTTCTGTTTTATCTAATGCAGCAGAGAAAAGGGTGAGTGGATGACCCACAGGGAACGAAATCTATCAGAAAAAGGTTCGGAAGAGCAAATTAACCTTTACCCTCTATTGAAGAAGGAAAGTTCAGCTATGAAGATTGTGACAGACGAAAGTTGCAGCATTCCTTTCCGGTTCCTTTTCATTCAACTTTGTAACTTTTTTTTTTTTGTTGGTAGGAACAACTTTGTAACTTTCTATCTGTGTATAAGTTTGTTTTTCTTTTCTCTCTTTGTATCTAGCCTGTAATTTTTCTTTCCGGCCAAAAAAATAAAATAAAAAAGAAGGGAGTATCAGGAGCCTACGACAGCTTGGGCATGTACTCTGCGACCCTGTTCAGCCTGGGCTTTTCTGACGGTGACAACGGCAGAGCCAAGGACGGCGGCGGTGGACACCAGCGTCAGAACCCCTGAGCCGGCGTAGATGCCGTCTTTCACGACGTAGCACTTGCCGTCCAGCCATCCTTTCCCAAACGGCTGCGTTGCGCTCATGCTCGTCGCTCCCCCTAATAGCACCACCGCTAGCCCAAAGCTCGCCCTAACAGAAACAAAAAAAAAAAACAGAGACGCCTTAATTAGAAGGAGATTGATAATTAAGTGCGCTACCTACTTTTTGCCCCAAATTAAAACACATAGGAATCGAAAAGGTCCTGACGCAAAGGCAAGAATCAAGGGTCGCCTCAATCACCAGACAAAGTTCATTAATGGCGACTGTCGACTGACCCAAATTGAGAAAACAAATAAAAGGAGTAAACTTTAAAGAAATGAAATGGAAGGGAAAGGGTTGGTTGAGCTGGCAAATGTCAGGCGTGTGAATTGCTTGCAAGTGAGTTGGAACCGAATTCTCAATTAATTTCTTCTGCCCATCTCATGGGCTTTCTAATTGAAGATTTGTTTCAGCCACCGGGAGAGAAACAACTCAAACAAGAAAACAGAGCATCACGTGCGTACGATAAAAATAGTGAATCCCAACTGATTGTTCCAATCCAAAGATAGACCGACGAATTAATGGTGGTGGGTTTTGGGAATGAGAATTACCAGGAGAAGAGCAGGAGGAGGAGGGCGGGGATGGAGGGTTTCTTGGAGGCAGAGGAAGAAGACGAAGTTGAAGAAGAAATAGAAGCGGAAGGAGGCAGAGGAGGGGTGACCGGCTTCTCTCTGGAAGAAGAGCAGAAAGAGGACAAGAAGTTGCCGCAAATGAACAAGTTGGTCAATGCGTGGGCGATAACTAGGGATGCGATTGCCGCGATTCCGAAGCCAAACGCATGGCTCTCTGGCAGATAGCACATCGCATCCTGCAATTTCACATCCTTCTTCTGCCAAAACCCAAAAAGAAGAATCAGGTTCGGGAGTTCGAGGGACACGAGGCGATGTTCAATTAGAAATGTTGGTAGTACCTTGACTTTCTTGATCTCGGCGATGACGCAGGAGACGAAGGAGAGAACGGCTAGGGAGATGACGATGGCGAAGATGAAGAGCAACCCAAGTCTCTGCTTCTCCATGGGAGGGAGGAAGGGAAAAGGAAGGTAGCCAGAGGAAAAGAAATGTGAGAAAGAGTAATTAAGGGGAGGGATTAAGAGAGGAAAGATAATAATGAAGGGAAAAGAGAGGAAAGAAGGCGTGGAGTTGACTCAAGGAATATGTGTGTGAAGGAAAGGAAGGACATTAACATTCATTAGTAGTGAGTATACTAGTATAGTTTTAGGATTAGTAGAGGGATTAAGAAGGTGGTTTTCTTCTTCCTCTGCCCTCAAAATTGAAAGTTCTCTTCTTCTGGTTCATGAATCCCCCTTTTCCCAAATTCCAGTGTTCTAATTCCCCACCACTTGCATTTCTAATCTGTTGCTTTGCTTTGGGCCTTTCATCTTCCACAAAGAGAGAGAGAGAAGATAATAGATACCACCACCCAAGAAGAAGAGTAGACTATATATTCTTCATAAAAAAAAAAAAGAAAGAGAGTAGACTATATATTATTCACTATTATACTAATCTCCCTCTTTGTGTCTTGATCCAAAGTGGTAGTTCTTCTTGAATTACTACTAATAACTAGTAAAGAAGCCCGCGCTCTGCGGCGGGGAGACTATATTGTGGGAATGGAGAGTTGTAAGCGAAAGAGCGGAGTCATTGTGCATGTGAATAGTTTGTACGTACATCGCGGATACATAAGTCTGTTGATGTTGAAGTGCAAATATTGCTAAATACTGGCATAATATAGGTAAGACAACGGTCGAGCACAATGACTTTCTGCGCAAGCGTTGACGTTTTCATTAGTTTATTGTTAGAGCTGGCTGCGGTCGAATGCAGAAAGTATAGTAAACTCCAGAGGAGTCTGAGCCAGATTTCCAGGTTTAGGGAGTTGCACACAAAACGAAAACCAACAGCCATTCATGGCCACAATTGGCGGAGGGAAATGGCCATGGCGGTGGGGATGCTGCAACAATAGTTCGTTTGCTGTAACTCCAAGCAAAGATTCAGCGGTCTTTCCAAGTGCGACGAAGCACGCCGAACCAGTAGTGTCTCCGACAGCCAAATGAATTTTGTAGCTGTAAAAATGTATTAAAATTTCAGGGGTGAATTGGGCGTGCCCACTTGACTGATGGGGAAAAGGTGGATTTTAAACTAACCAATGTTCGGTTTCTTCAGCCTTTAGTTGGCCATGTTCTTCACAAAAAAAATCACCAGTGCCAGGAAATTCCCTAGCTGTCTTAAAGCAAAAGGCACATCCTAAGTAGAACCATGATCTTGAAGCCTCAGTGGAGAGGACTTGCGCCAAACAATAGTACTGGGTAGCCTGTAGGTAAACAAAACTGGTGAGAAAGTGTAGCTAAGCAGGCAAGAAATTTGTTAGTTTACTGGCAAAAGGGACTGGAAAAACAGATCCATCTAGTGGTGAGGCAGAATAAATTTTGAAGCATGAAAATAATGGCTGGCTACATTAATAGTGCAGATTATGCTTTAACCTGCCATGAAGTAATAAGATACAGTGCTGTGACAGTAAAAGTTATGACAAAAGAACGCACGTCAACCATTGGATTTCTGGAAAGGCGGATGAGGTCCATAATTGTCTTGGTACTGTCAGCTCGAAACATTTCCTCTTCAAAATAAGTGGAAAAGCATGGAGGATAATAGCGGATCGTATCTGTACCACCAGTAGCACTACAATTTCGAAAGTATATGAGATAAACGGAAAGTCAACTACTAAAAGCGGCATCTTGTAAGAGACTTACGTAGCACGCAAAACATTTGCCAATGCAGAAGATGGCTCCAAAACAAACCGTGTAGCGGAGGTGCTGGTTAAAAAAATGCCGCCTTTGGTAAAGGTAGGAAAGGAGATGTGAGTCGTCGTAGAATGGATTAGCAATAGCATTAACTGTGAGGGATAAAGGTGCAGTGTAAACCTGGTGTGGCGTCAGTAACTTGAAGACTGCATACACCAAGTATAACAGATCCCATGCGGCTAAGGTATGCTAGTTCTTCTCCATCTAGTGATCGAGCAACATCGCCACATATGGTGATGTTAACACGTTTATTTCTGCAATAGTCAAGTGCAGGCTAGACGGAGATGATTGGAATTACGGTTAATCAAATACAAATGGAAAGGTACACAATCGCATTGCATTGAAAACCTTTCGTTTTGTATGACCAGTTTCCGCCTAATAATAGCACCAGTGGATGTTGCCGAACAGGATAACCCGCTCACAGAAACAACTCTGCCAACAACATCTACATTTGGAGAGGTGTTACAAGAGCGTCAATTCATTAGTGCAAAAAACCAAGTCAAGTATATGTGATGAGATTACAGTAATTGCCAGGTGAACCTATGAGCTGGTTTGTTGAGCGAGGTAAGCCGTGCAAGGAACTGAAGTGTAAAAACTCAAATGAATCAGCACAGAAACCCGGTGACAACATGGTTACATCCTCAAATATGGTTCCCTGAGAAAGGACCAAACTAAATCTATGGGAGCAAGGGCGGCACAGTGGCTGTGGTTTTGCCAGCTGGAATCCAGTAACTAAGTAGACACACCCTAGTTGCAGGTATGGGCCAAATCGGTGACCTAAATGTGGTGTCGCGATGGCCTGGATTAAGGTTCCCTGTTAAACAGGGAGGAGGCGAAGCAAGAGAAATGACCGAAGAGCACAATTTGCACTGGTAACTGCAAAAAAAAACGTTTAAGGAAATGCTATATTACCTTGGAATCGGTCCAAAGACTGCAAAACTGTGAGAGAATGGATGGATTTTCTGAATTGCAATCACCCCAAACATGCAAGAGGCGTATCTTGAGAGCAGCTTCTGGCCCTTCAGTTCCATTCAAATCCCGAAGCAGCTTTTGCGGAAGCATGTCTCTTTTGTGAGGAAATTGGGGACGGAGATCGAACCGGATGACACCAGAAGGAAGGTTGAACAGGAACAGTGTGCTGATTCAGGATTTTAGTGAGGAAATAGCGGAAGAAGAGTAAAGTTGATGAGAGAGGATGAAAAGTGAGATAAGAGCAGGGATCTTCCTAAACGTTGAATAAAACAACAAAAGACATAAACTTTCTCTCGAACTGTTCAGTGTTTCTGCGGCCCAAAATGATTCAAAATACAATAAAAATGGTCGTAGAAGAAAGGCCTAAAAGACAAGTGGTGTGAAGGGAATCTATTACTTTTCAACTGAGGCAACAGTACAGCAAACGGGGGAAACATACTAACACTGGAGGCTAGAAGGGAATGACCGATTTTAGTCGAATTACAGGAGGTTACATTAGGAACATAGTACACTGTAGATAGCGAATCAGGGGTGGTTATTGATATCTGTAATGATCTTGAGATCTAATATAACAGAACAGTAACGACACAAGAGTGAAGACAGAACACTCAAACACATGTACAACAAAGGAACTGCAGAAAGGGCATAACTAAGACGAATAAAATACGAACGTGCATTGCCAAGTACATTGTTTAGATCTGAACTATTTGGATGGTTGAGCTTAAAGGGTAGCTACCATACACAACGTACCAGAACAGTTTATGTTCAGAATGGAAATAAAGATGGACTATTCCAATTCTCAAAATATCGAATTAACTAATAATGTTGCAATCCATGTCTTCTGGGCCTGCCTTACTTTGATCCTTCCTCAGCCAACAACCCAATTCGTTCCTTAGTCCTAAGAGCTGCAATAAGAACAGACATGTGGGTATTTATTAGTGCGCAAAAAATGGTTGTGCCCACGAGCACTAATGTTCCACTGAATGCAAAACAAAAGTAGGAAGGAATGTACCTTCTTTGACTGCAACGTAAGGCTTCGGTCAGATGCGCAATTTAAGTTCTCGCAATGGCTGAAATGCTTTTGAATCCCAAATCGCAAACATGCGGATGTGTGGTTCATCTGAATCTTCTGATCCCACGATGTACAGTTCTGCCATTAGCTGAACATTGCAGAATGTTTTGAGCAACTCAACTCTCTCGTCATATGGCATCATTTGGAACTCGAGCGGTGGCATACGGATTAGAGCAAGAGAAGGTTGATGATTCAGAACTATTGTTGCGGTGTGATTTCCTGATTCGCATTCAGCCTGCAATTCGTAGTACAATCTAAACGTATACGTAGATTAGAGATGTGGTAGCAATGAATTGTTACTTAACAATAAGGAAAAGAAAAGTAGTTGTAATTTGGAAATACTCAGTGTCTTCAGGAAACGTTTTGCAGGTCTCAGAACCAAGATGGAACTTAAGTATCTTCAATTTGCATCGATAGAGTATCTGTCACACGGATTGAATTAGGAAAATTGTCAAATCCAGTTTTTGTGAGTAACTAAAACATTTATTTTGTTGGAAGGTCACCTGAGGATGCTTGATAATTTTCATATATACTTGCTTAACAATCTACAGTTGCAGAAAGAAGGTAAGGAAAGTCACCTCAGTTTCCATTTCTCCTAATGGAACTTTGGTTTTCAATTCCAGCAGTGAAATTCTGGGAGGAATCTTGCGCCGAAGGTATCCAAGGCGTTCCTTCGAGCTGTAGTCAATGATGTCCACTGGCAATCTGTTATGAAAGAACCTAGTAGGTTTGTTGTGTTCAATTAGCTAACTGGTAGAAGAAGATGCATATAATGAAAAGAAAGATGCAAATAGTACAGCATACCTGTTCATTAAAAGATGTGTCGTTTCATTGTATGGTTGCACAATGAGACGGGTCCCAGGAGATGTCACGAAACAAAACGGCGGAATATGGGTGAATTCGTGGACATTTCGGGTGAGGCCTGTTGCTGTAATAATCAGAGGATAATGCACCTCGGTTCCATCAGCACTATGAATGAATTGTTTAATCCGCGTTCCGATGTAGCTCACAAGTCCTTTATTGCCACTATGAAGTTGGAAGACAACTAATGAGTGTTAATACAGACCAATTTCCATTCAAACGTATAAAACATAAACTGATTTCGAAGCATACCTCATGTCTTCCAGATAGATTTGGAACATAAATGTATCAGAATTGACCCTAAGTGGTTCTGTTATGTGCGTCACGCATCCTGTGATTTCTGAAGCATGAATCTGGTTGAGTTATTTGGTTCCATGTGGTCTGTAAATATTATATTTAGGGGAAAAAAATATTTTGTGCATCAATTTAAGATGCAGGATG